TATATTTTTAAAACTGAATTTCGTATTCCTAGAATTCAATTTTCCATTTTAAAAATCAAATTTTGCATTTTTTAATAAAAATTTGCATTTTTAAAACAAAACATTTGCATTTTCAGAACCAAATTTTGCACTTTTTTTTGTTGGAAAAAAATATTATAACATAATTTTTTCAACATTTTTTCCTAATTAAAAAACCTTAACTTTCATCATAAATTTGAGGAAAAAAAATCGATAGAAAAGATAAAATAACTGTTAAAGAGAAGGAAATTTTGACTCCTTACTTCTTCTTAAGCATGGAATTAGCCTCAACAATAACGGATCCAATTTCAAGATGAAGGAAAGGAAGGACATTTAGGACGTATTCAATAGAGCGGATATGAATTAATTAATCACATATAAATATGGATTAATTAATCACATACAAATATGAATTAATTAATCATACATGAATATGAATTAATTAATCACACCGAGATGATCTGAGGAAATATTCTAAAGGAAACTTGTGAAAACCCGTTCAAATTACAAAACGATTATCAACTGAATTATAATTGCAGAATGAAATATGAATTAATAAACGAAAGAATAACCATCACTTTACGATGTCCGAAAAACTCTTAATAATTGATTTTTGAAAATTTTAAAATTTCTCATTTCATAACAAATTTACTAAAGTATGTTAGCAATTGAAAATTACCAATGATTTAAAAAGCTTAACTTAAAAAGCTAAGATTTAAAAAGCCATTAGATTTTGCTTAAAATTTGATTTGACTTAATTTAAATTTTTTTAAAAATTCGATTTGATTTAAAAATTTTAATTTAAAAAGCTAATAGATTTTGCTTAAGAAAAATGGTATTTGCTAAATAAATCAAAAAGAGAGAGAAAAATCGTAGAGAAAAGTGTGGATAATCAAGTTAACCGAACAGTGATATTTCAAAACCTGATCCGGAATGGTTAATTCATTATTGAGAAATATGATGTAAGAAATATTTGCTTCCTATTCGTAACCTCATTTACTACCCATTGGTCATTAAGTTTTCAATAAACTTTCTCATCAATTCCTTAGAATCAAAAGAATTAAAGTGATAAGTGAAATTTCAGAGCTTTAAATTAAATATTGATTAGCTCAAAACAAACAAATGAATCTATCATAAAGTAAATAATGAAATAGATGAGAATAATTTTATTATTTATACTGGGAAAAATTAACATCAATGGAAATAGCCATATGAAACAATGGATGAATTATTAACCGTCACCGTCTCATTATCAGAAATTTGAGAAAGAAAATAAATTCAACCAGTTGAATAATCACAGTTATCTTTTTAAAACTTATTAATTGGAATATTTGTAAAATTTACATATTCAAATCGGAAACAACCATCAAACAATAATACATTTCTCGTTCCTAGCAATTACACAATCTAACTAAAAAAAAATCCTGAAGATACATATTATTTCAGCTTTTTACGGAATGCAAATCGATAAGTTTAAAATAGTGGAAAAATGGAACGGAAAATATGTGGAAAATAATGAAAATGGATGAGGTTAGCTCATTTTTTACAATGGGGGAAAAATCAAAATAAATTCATGAAGCCATCTGTGAATCAGGGCGGTAATGAACAACCATAAGCGCCCATCCATCAAAAGTTTGGAAAGTGATAAATGCACTCACGCAAACATACACGCATACTTTCACGTATGTATTCATGTACATATCTATCAATCTGAAAATATTTTTTGATTATATCGTAGAAAGTGTACAGTAACTGTATATATGCTATCATAACTTTATGGAAATGGTAACAAATACTTACACAAGGGAAACGTGCAATATTTCACGTACGCAATTTAGAAATAATGCAAAAATGATTGATAGAATTTCTTTTTTCTGCAAATTTTTTCAGCATTTAAAAAATTAAAAAAGAAAAACTTATACGAAAATTTGCATGAAAATGACAAAATGAAATGAATTAAAAGAAGAGAAAATCCATTCCATTCTTTTCATTTCATTAAATTTGAAATATATTGCGTCAAATTTTCTTTAGCTTCAAAAAGTGATTCATATCATCAAGCAAACTTTCTTGCCAATAAAATGGTAGATGTATGAGAATGAAAATTTTAGCAATCTTAATCACCAAGATTTCATCCGAGAAATATCAGATGAATTAAATTCTTTGCGTAAATAATCAATATAACAAAAATTTTTGAAAGCTTATGGAAATAATCTACTGAATTTTATAAATTTTCTGAATTTTTCAACTCTTTCATTTGTACATTTTTAAATTTTAATTTTCAAAAAGTTAAAAAAAGCAGAGAAGATGTAAATTAGGAATAAAATGTCATTTTTTTTTATCTTGAAGAATTGGAAATTAATAACCATTCCAGTTCTCAATGTTTTGAAAGGAAATTATATCCCAATAATTTAACCGCTCTTATTCTAAAAGATAATTAAGATGGCGCAATTGCGGATTTTAAAATCTGGATTTTGGATTTCGTAGAACAATGGACAAAACTAATCATATGACGATTTGCCCCATTTCATCTGTTATATTTATATTTAGGGATTGCTTAATTTCTGATCATAGTACATTTTCTGAATATGTGAGTGTGTGTGTGTGTGTGTGTTACCTGTATCAAGGTATGGATATATGGTACGGTCATCCATGGATAAACTTATCCATACATTATTTATCCGTATCACAGTTTGAAAGAACATAAGGCAAAAAATGCTGAAAAATGACATAGAGTTTTGAAATGACACACAACATGTTAACCTGATAACTACCTCTCTGGAAATTGATACTGGCTCAGTGGCATTATTTAAATGTCAAAGTTTTAGAAGTTTTAAAACCAAAAATAATCATCGGAAGTAAGAATTCGAAATAAATAATTTCCAAAAATTACCTCATTTATCAATGAATCAATTTCCTATGCTTAAATATCTATTCATCTACTATAGTACATGAGTATAAACGTAGGTTACATACGTACGTACGTATGTCTTAACCATTGAATTCTTTATTCGAAATGATATATAGTTGAAATTCGAGATGACATACAATCTCTTAATCATATAGTTAAATAGTTAAAACATAAGCATGCACTATCATAATTATGTTTGGTATTTCAAGTGATTTCAAAGAGAATTTTAAATTTAAAACTTTTAAAACTATAAATTTTAAAAAAAAAGAGTTTTGCGATTAAGTTGGAATAAACGAATGGATGAAAAGCATATATTTTTTAAAAATCTTAACAACAACTCTTCGTTCGGTATTTTAAATTTAATCCAATAAGAAGGAAAAAAAAAGTTACAGAGAGAGAAAGTTAAAAAACAATTATTTAGATATTTCAAGTAACGAATGAAAAAGTTTCGTTTTCTTTAACAAATTTTCGCTCATTATGCTTCCTAAAATGAAAGTTTTTTTTGGAGAAATTGAAAAAGTGCCCAAATATTCAAAATTTTCGATATTGTTTATAATCGCCCTATTTAACATACAAAATTAATAATCTATTAAAGCATATAACTTTTTTTCAAAACATTGAAACATTAACATAAACATACTGAACGATTAAAAAATAGTACAAATAGCGCCTGTAATGTAAACCCTTCTTCATCAAACGAGCACTGCATATTTATTAATTGGGAAAATAGTGACAACAATTATTAT